TTTACCATTCTTCCTGAACTTGAACCACACTTTGTAACTGTCGTTCACATTGTATCATGACGTTTGTTTTAATGTTACAAATACACAATTTTCCGGTGCGACCTGCCGACTTCTTGCTGAACGAGTGTATTTACGCTCCGTTGGACTGTTTGTTGACTGATGAACCAGTGGGACTAAATCTCTGTGTTTGTGTCAACTGTTGAACGTCACAATTAATCCCTGTACCATTTTTTAGCCGTGAATAATTTTCCTACCGTGGAATATATCACTCACGCGGAACCATCAGTGGGAACTTTCGACAAGTGAATATTTCCTTTCACACCCAGTTACTGCGTTTGGATCGGTGTAGTGGACTATTGGATCTACACATTCGTGAGTCCCCATTTGACTATTGATTACGTTCCTATTGTGATTTTGTGATTTTTTGTATTGGTTACTTTTGCTTGTTAATTTGTCCGAACACGCTGATAAGGTCCTAGTCCGTTGCAGTTTCACGGATCGATTATGACGCAAGATCGAAGCTTTCGCCAAAGTTTCCCGGGTCGCTCTTGTTGTTCGTCGGCTGCCGGTAATCTGAAAGACATAAGCGATAAAACATCGTAGCGGGTGTGAAGGAACAGGAATAATTTTACTTACGGGATTCAAGGGAAACTCCTTCACTGGATCAAGGCGTCCCTATCAGACAGATTATTCCGAGTGAGAATTAGCTCGGCCTACTCTTCTCCAGCGCCGGTCTCCATTGTATTTCCTCAAGGCTCCGTCTTGGGACCACTCCCGTTTCTGATCTACGTCAACGACCTCCCAGACGTTCTTGCGAGCCCATGTCTACTTTTTGCAAACTGCTTGAAATCCTGGAGTTCCAATTACAGTTCCCTCCAAATGGATGTAGACGCTGCCAAACATTGGTCGTTGGACTGGCACCTCCCTCTGAATGACGAAAAGTGCGTCCATAGGTCGTTCGGAGGAGACTCAGCGAATGTCTTTGTTATGCATCGTGAGAAAGGACCAGAAAACATCACGAGGATAGATGCCCTAAGGGATTTGGGCATCTGGGTCTCCTCAGACTTGTCGTTCTCACTACACCATGAGAAGTCGGCCCGAAAGGCATTCGGCATTTTACGGATGATCCGACGCCCTGTTTGAACAAAGCTTGGCAAACGGGTTTTTTACCGTTGACCCAGCAAACACACGGCGGGGACATAGTAAGAAAATTTTCAAGCTCAGAGCACATACATTCTTTAGACAAAATGTTTTCTCATTTCGGGTAGTAGGTGCGTGGAATGGCCTTTCTCCGACGGTTGTTCATGCTCCTTCTAGAATCCAGTTTAAAGCGCTATTAGACATTTATTTATGCGACAGCCACATTTATTTACGACAGCCACAAGAACAAAAGCGACCCGGAAGACTTGAGCAATAACCTCGATCCTGTGTATCAATCCGTGAGTCCGTGGAACGACCAAAGATGGCTTTCTGCTAATTAGGTGAACCGTAAAGGCGCGTTCTTAGTCTTTCATACCCTCAAGTCGGTGTCTCATGAATGAATTTGCCCCTGGAAAAAAGGTTAAGTTGAGTGGCTGAACAAAAACCATTGTATGGATGGGTAGAGTAATAGGGTACTGTAATTTGACGAGGGCAAAATAGATCTCCGGGTCAGGACGAAGCCGATCACCGTAGGCCCACAGAATCCCACCAAACGAAACCAACGGCATTCTCAGTTGGCCTTTAAGTTTGGCATAGTAACCCCAGGAAAGTGCCACCATCAATCTGGAGAAGTGGTCCGACGATATTTCGGGATTCAAGAGGAACCTCTGCACCGGATTGTGGCGTTGCTGTCAGACAGAACATTAGGAGTGAAATTGGGCTCGACCTACTCTTCTCCAGCGTCGGTCTTCTTTAGAGTTCTTCAAGACTCCGTTTTGGGACCACTGATGCCGCTGACATGTCAGCGACCTTTCAAACTTCCTTTCAAGTCCACATCTACTTTTTGCGGACAACTTGAAATCCTGGTTTTCAGGAGTCACTGCCCTCCAAATGGATTTGGACGTTCAAGGCGGTCATCGCTGGACCGGCATTTTTCTCTGAATGACAAAAAGTGCGTACATATATTATCCGGAGGGGTCTCAGCGCACACTGTCACCGTGCATGTTGGGGATGAATCTGAAGACATCACATGGGCAAAAGCCCGAAAGGACCTGGTATCTGGCTCTCCTAGAACATGCTCTTCTCATTACACCGTGACAAATAAGCCCCAAGGGCATTCGCCGTTCTAAAAATGATTCGGCTTACCTTCTCCTGTATCACTCGCAAGAGCTTCCAAATACTCTACGGGGTCTACGTCAGACCGACCAACAACTTTCTTTATTCAGGACGCACGATGGGCGTAACCGTCATTGAGCTGGTCCAAAGATGGTTGCCGGCCTTCAATCCGTGGGCTATAGAAAGCGTCTCGTGGGGCTGGGCCTCTCTCCTCTGAGGACCTAATACATACTTATGCCCTGCTTAAACAAGGTTTGGCCAGCAGGTTTTTCGCCCAGATTATGCACGAGGGAGACATGGTGAAATATTTTCAAGCGCAGACCGCACACTCTAATTAGGGCAGTTGGTACATGAAATAACCTTCCTCCCACGCTTATCCACGCCCCATCCAATACCTAGTTGGCGGCCCTGTTAGGCGCTTCTTATGCGATTCCTTACACTAGCAAGCTTAGTGTCCCGCGCTGCAAACTTAAAAAGGGGTGCCACACCTTGTTTTGCCTGTGTATTTCAACTGAAAGTCAGTCTCTGGGCGACAAGAAAAAATCCGCCCCGGGAAACCTGGGCGAAAGCCTCGACCTTGTGTCAATCTGTCAATTCACCGCGACGCGCTTCGATGAAGACAATCGGATGTGGGGGTGAGGACTGCCAGATACAACCACGTCCGAACACGAAGCGCAGCGGTGCTGAGAAAACACAAAGTTCAAAAGCGTTGTTGTTGGTACGTTCACCGTAGTCCTGTTTTGATGGGTTCTTTCACACTTGAACAATTCGGTTCATTCAAGAACCGAAGTGGTGGGCTCTTCCGTGGGGCTTCGAAAGCCTCCTCAGTCTAACGGGGCAGGTTTTTATAGTGTGAGGCCTAATTGCGTGCTCCAGCAGATTGCGCCCAAATGTGCTCTGGAACTCAGCCGTTCCCAGAATGACTTCCATTCTATTTGCGCCCTAGAAGACCAACCTAGGTAGCCCCTGGGTCTGTCATCCACCCAACACTCAGGTGACATTATGGCCACCTAACTGAAGCCAGTGTTAGCCTCACCAGATAATCTCTCCACTGTATGGACAGACGTCCCGATTAAGTGCCACTAGCAAGCTTGTAAGATAAAATTTTCAGACTTTCCGACTAGCAACCCGAGAAACGGGGTTCATTCTTTGACAGGCAGACCCAAGCAGGTTTTGGATTCCTTTTCGCACCGAGCTATTTAGAGTATCTCTCTTGAGATCCCGCAGGCGACTTCTTCAAGAAACACCAACACTACTATAAATTAGAAACTATAAATAAGAAAACCGTAAATCAGAAAACGAGCTGGTTCCCGTGCGTGTCATTAAATGCGGCTCTTACTTTGCTTACCTGTGGCATGAACCAAAATTGTTGAACCAACTCGTCGCCATCTGCAAATGAACAAATCGTAAGACGTTACTCACCGGTCTGCTCAAAGCGCCGAGTTTTTTGCGCCACACCGAATTCACCCTGAGTACAAGAGTCCATTGACCTACCTCCACCACCAAGTGAACAAGTTTCGAAAGGACCTACAAATGCGAAGTAAAAGCCAATAAAAACCTAACCGATCCGCAGAACATTTGGAAATATGTTTGCCTGCGGTGCACAAAGAGTGGTTGCCCGGAAAAATACCGATTGGAAAGCGCAATCGACTAGGCTTAACTACCCCCCCAGCGGCTTGAACACAACCAAACATCAAATCCATCTTCACACCAGACAAGCTGGACTAGGTGAGGCGTTACTTTTTAACTCCCGCGTGCTTCTTCCTCCTAAAGATTAAAAAATCGGTTTGAAGTAAAAAATACTTCCATAAACCAGAAATGGTGCAACTGTCCAGAACCAGTAACTGGCTAGAACCAAATCTGACACCCTTTCGGTTAGGTGATGCGGGCGAACTGGCAACAGCCGTTCCTTGCTAGGCGACGGCGCCGGCATTACAGCGTGTCTGGACCCATCCTGTTGCCCGTGCCCGAACGTTCTGTGTCTGCCGCTGACTCGGTTGGTGACAGTCGGTTCGATTCTCGTCGTGTTTGTTGGATCCTCTAGGAGCTACGGCCTAGTTACTCACCGAAACCTAACGAAATATGCGCTGTTGCACCTGTATACTCTACTCCATAAAATAAGGAAATCATGCGGCGTTCTTTGATTGTGGAAGGGCTGCCGGATTGGTTGAAGCCGGCGAATGGGCACCAGCCTTGCGTGGTTATCATGTATGACTCTTGGAAAGATTGTCAGGCTGATAACACGACGTTACCACGATGAGAAAGCACGGTGTCCTGCTTCACAGAAACTTCTAAAACGTAGATTGTTTACCGTAATCTGTTGCCGTCTAGACAGAATAAAATGGCAGCACCCGAAGTTTCTCTCCTTATAGGTCCTATGAATGCGGACTTTACCATAATGTTCTCCAAAGCCCGTTCACAGTCGCAACATTGAAACTTTCGTGGTCCAGAAAACCCTTGGCGTTATCCCGTTAAAGTGGCCCATGGCCGCTGGATTCAGTTCAAAATCAGCGCCTTGTTGGCTGCACCTGTTCAAGCAATGGGTGGGGCTTCTCGAAGTCCAGTTTTTGGAACCGAACTTTTCAATGTTCACATCAGAGGTTTGTGAAAGTTACCTGTTTGGTGTGCGCAAGTGTCCTAAACTCTGGCCACGGAAAATTTAGGATGAATCGGCTAACAAAGTGTGCTTTACATTGTTTACTAATTTTTATTCATTAAAGACAAGCTGGTTAAATTCGAATTTACTAGAGTTCTCAATGTTGCTAGCAATAGCTGGAACCACTTGTTGACGCCGTCGCCTTTGTAGCAAATGTCCCTCGTGGAGGCCATTCGAAGGACCTACTGTTCATGTCCTGTCTGAAACAGGAGGCAGGTAATACCGGAAACCTTACTCTAGTCTCACAACCTTTTGTAGTTATTTGACGTTTACTATCTCGAATGCCAAAACACAACCAGACAGCAATTTACTTCGCGCTCGTTAGAAACTTTTAGAGCAGATGTTGCCAGACGAACCACACACAGTCGATTACCAACGGTATCCAGTCAAGCAAGGACCCTTCCGCCTGGTGACCAAAAATAGTGCTGCACGATGCACTGCTTGCTACAGCAACCTCTGATCACTAAAGCTGCGCAGGCGCTAGAAAGAGGCGGTTAGTTCAACCTCTGCCCTTGCATCTTGAACTATCGTCTCTGGTACAAAGCACACATACTTTCAAACAATTCCAGTGTGACAGTTGCAGTAGCTTCCAATCCTTCTTGCCTTATAGTACGCGAAATGAAAGCAACCAGGTTAACTCGTATCAAGGCTTGACGTTTAGTTTTGAGGTTTCTGAAAAATCAACGCCAGAAAACGCACAGATTCTGCTACAGAACCGAGGTAGATCAAACGGAGTCATTAGTCTAACCTGACGGACTTACATAGAGAGGATCATCATTGCGGCGAGAAGGGGAAGGTACGTAGAAAAGAAAGTAGGTAGATGTTAGGTGAGTGATTTTTCGCTTACCGGATATGCGGTATGCAGCAAGTATAGAGACTCGTCCGATCCGCTCCCGACGGACGATGTAGACCGCTAATCCGGCTGGTAAACATTGAGCATCCTGAGGTGAGAGGCTCTGTGAGCTTTGAACAGGCACCCTCATTTTAAGTTATTTGAATAGCGGAGGTACACAATCAGTCTGTCGCGAAAAGTTCCCGTTTCTTTGTGACCGGTGGCTCAAGAAACTGATGGTCAAGCATCAGTAGTCAAGACCCAGAGCTAAGCTCTCTTTCCATACCACCCATAATCAAGGACATCTGCGATTACTGTGGCCGCGTCATTCGACACTATTAGAATCACTTATAAAGGCTTTCTGGAGTCTCTTATATCGTATGTCATCGTTGTTTGTATCGTTTATCCACAAGCCTTCCAGACCCAATGCTGAGGCCGATCGCCAGTATTCAACCTCTGACACTCCCTCAATACAGGCTATTATTATATTTCATTGACAACGTGCTTTTATCTTTGACAATCAGTTTGAATTCTGTAAACCGATTTTAAGCCTACCAAGCATCTTAGATGCCATCGAAAGAGTCGAAAACAATATCGTTTTAACCTGATCCCGCTACAGCCAAATGACATCGACTCTGACTTTCATCTTTATCAACGAAGGGAAGGCAATCCGAACGAGTCATATATTCTACTTTCTTAGCCGAGGTGACCACACGATTTTTTGTTCGACTGTGTATTTTGCGGGTATTTACTATGTAGTGTTTTGCCTTGGGTTAAGGTAACCAATAACTGAATGTATAAGACACGGTAGCTATCCTTGATTTATTGGAAAGCAATGTCAGGCTAAAACTAAAATTGATGAGACAGTATATGTAGCTTCTAGTCAGTGCACTTCAAAATCACTATAATGTCTAAGTACATTGATGCTAAGATGTGCCCGTCACGCGACAAGTGGACAACGCTGACCTAATTGACACAGCGCAAGCGCATTTTGATTTGTTATATTAGAAGCTAAGCATGGATTATTGTTCTGATAGGACCTGCTACAATTCCTGTTCACATTTTCCAAACTCAAGTGAGCTTGAAGGCGGCGCAAATATATCAAATGATGCTGGACCCCGCGTTGCAAATTGCGGTGTCCCATAGGGTATTATTTTGTAGGCGTGAATGTTTATGCTCTGTGTGTTTGCAGCCTAATCTTAACGTAAATGATTGGGTTAAATCAATTACTTCTCAAGGTCAAACATTACCTCGAAGTATAAAGCAGCGTTTTACAACATATGACACATCAAATGGCCGAGTAATACAATTCGCCTAATGAAACTGTCGATGTCTCCGATTTAACCTCTGCGTTGTTTTGAAGCCGTGTTTATGTTATTGCTGCTGTAAACGCGATACCTACATTTGTCTTGGAATTGCTGCGTCCATCAAAGAACTCTCTCCATTTATTCGAAAGAATTTTCCACAACAGATAGCTTCAATACTGATTAGGTAAGTAACTCCGAATATGAATCTCTCCTCGCTAGTGCACCCTTTCCGTACACTCGATCCCGTTTTTGAATACGGTAGATTGTCGGCAAATGAAACCGCCTGTACTGCGTTGGGCAAGTTCTGGGCCAATCGCTGTATGGATAGCGTCTGCTCCTTTGTAAACAGTACTGGCTGTTGCAAAATTTTCCCTGGAGACGGAAGTAGCTACCAGACCCGAGGCCAGACAACATTCCAAAGGCTTGACGGTCCCAACAGCACCAGTGAGCTATGTAGAGTAGGTTTTCGAAAGTCGGGAAACAAACCTCTGATGGTCTGACGCTAGTCCACAGGAAGTTTGTCAATCAGACGGCTCACTGAAGTTTTGTTCAACCAATTCATTCCCCTTCTGCGTCCATGTGCGGCTGCATGCTGATAAATCCTGGAATAAATGAATCCACCCAGACCATCAAAAGGGTTGCCACAGCGAAGCAGTGAGACGAAACCCTTCTTTCCAACCTCAAGCGGACTGCAATAATACATGCAGATTCGTATCTTGCATTTCGTTCACACTGGTGATGAAATCAAACATGCGGAAATTTAATGCACACTGATATTCATCGCCTTTTGGCTGTACGTTTTAGTTCAAGCCTCCGGCTCTGCACTGAGACCCTGAGGAATAGAAATCAAGATTGCTTCCACGGTGTTGATTGCATGAAGCACTGCAATCGTACACAAGTTGAGGGTTCATATTAGGCCAAATGCTAAAGAAAAGCACCTTAACTGGTAGGAGCTTTCTTCGCAATTTTTGGTATCCATTTTTACGCCTGCGCTCTAAATTCACTGTCACGCTTATAAAAATTGTCAGCTTCTTTATGGGAATAACAGGAATTGGAATAACAGACGTTCATTCTAATGTCTTCTGCTAGGGGAATTGGCCATCTTGCAGTAATGTCGGGTGGCCAGTTGAATTTGCGCAAACTGTCAATTCCAACTTTCGCGTCAAAAGGTAAAGTGTCTGTCCTAGATACTGCAACATTTTTCCGAAGTTTGCCGTTATCTGGTAACTGAATTCGCAACCGCTGTTTGGTTCTTTACGCTTAACAGACCCTCAGATACCGGACGCACTTCTCACATTAAGGAGCTTTACTTTAGCCCTGCCATCACGAGAGACCGCACCTCACAAAAGTTTTGCTATTGGGCTGTACGAGGAGGCTATCACGATTGACGTTTGCCGGTTCCTGATAATAATAACAGGTTTATTTCTCAACAGTCGAGGAGCGTGCCAATTGAGGCATAATCAGACTTTGCAACATGAACTTGGCGGACAACGACGCAGTGGTGAAAAAGGAGGATCGAGAATACAGGTTTGCCATTTGATAGGTAACCACAGATTATGGGAAATGAAAAACCTAAACAATCGGGCATGAGGTGCGACTAGCTCAATAATGAAACCGCTAGACTTGAACTAAAACTGAAAAATCGTTGCTGCTCATGGGTGATCTTGCGCGTTTTAGTAAACCGTCAGGGT